GTTCACCCGCGCGATTATTTTGAATAGACAATAGGTATTATTCTCGTAACTCAAAGTTGACTGTTCTTTTTTTAATTGAAAGGCTAAAAGTTGATCATTAGGACCGATTGTGCAGGCAAACATTTAAATGAGCATTTTGAAAGCATATACCGTGAAACCTGTAATAGAAGGATCCCACATTGCCCAGATTGATCTAATTTATCGTGGCTCATATGCAAGATATCAAAAATGTGTCAACTGATAAAGTGTTTTCGATATTATGATAAACAATTCATCAGTTGACAACGTTTTTATATTTTCGACAGGAATCGAGACTGGTTCAAATCTAAAAGTTGTTCTTCTATTACAGGTTTTACGGTAACTAGATTTGTGTTGTTTTATTTAGGACTTGCATTAATTTTTGTATCCATTAATATTGTGTTCTATCTAATTTGATCCTTCAAGGACTGTATGAAATCTATCTCTGAAATGTTCTTAGCACTCGAGCCCATATCCCACGTACTGACCGTCACACCCAGTCTTTGTTCAAAGTATCAACGAGTTGTGACGTCAAAAACAACATACAGTCACCCCTCCAGGTGCCAAATGGATACTTGTCATGTATACTAGATATGATATTCTTTGCTCTTGTTGAGTCTAGCTTTCGCCCACTTTCGTTTCACTCGTTATCACTTACGCCCTTGATCTTATGTCTATCTCTTCAACATTTTCAATACTTCTTGTTCATTTTTAGTGCTTCCGTAAATCTCTCTTTTCCACCTTCTTCTTTTTTCTCTCAAGTATTTATATATTGTTGACGAAAGAGAGAGCACTGTCTTGTCTTCTTCTTGTCCTTACTTTTCTATTTCTGACAACTTTGCAGAGAAGAAGCTCTGCGTGTAAACATGGGCATCGCGACGAGAAATAGTGTTGGAGATGAAGAGGTGTAGAGTTAAAAAGGAGGAAAAAATGAGTTGTGACATATGTTTTAACTGTATTTTTCTTCGTTTCGCGCTTTTTGCTCGTCCTTCGAAACACTTTTCAAGTAACATTTAGAAAAACGGTCAGTTGTCTAGAAGCCGCCAAAGAAAAAATAAGAGATGCAAAATCACTCTAGTCCGGTGTAGATATAAAGTTTCAAAATTTATTTTAAAGATTTCTGTTCATATAGGCCCCTGAAGGATTTCAAATTGTGGGCCCAATGCTGGAGGTGCCGCGCCGCTACCAGCTGAGCTACGGTTGCACAAGATGAGAATCAGAAGGCATACCCCTACTCTAAAAAACTTCAGTCCCAATCCCTTAAACTCCAAACTCAAAAAAAAATGTAGAAAAAGGGAAAACTCACGCAGCTGGAATGAAGAAGAAAATGTATGTGAGCATATAAATCATAGAAGTCCAATCGACAGCTTGGAATCTGAAATCCACAAAAGTTGATTTCAAAACTCAATGCAACACATGACTTACGAAACATTATAATATTCGGAGATAATGTTAGCAATAATGGAGTACTGTATCCATTGAGCACCATTTGATCCGGATAAGAACATAAAAATAATGAGGATCACCCAACGTTTCGCAAAGACTTTCGGCTCGATTTTCTCTTGTTTTTCCATCTAAAGAAAAATTAATTTTTGAACATTCAATTTTTTTGGCTTCGAAGAGCACAAGATTTAGAAAGATCATTATTCATAGTCGTCGAAATATGAGCGTTTTTTGAAAAACGATGTCTACGAATTGCGACGTCATCTTTGGATATTGGAGAAATTTATAAAAGACATTAAGGTTTTTGAAAACTTCTGTTTAACTTTAGATTTATATTATCTGTATGAAGTCCGCTGTAACATGTTCAAAAAAAGATTTTTTTAATCCAATAAAATTTGACTGAAAAGATTTTTCAGAATTAATGAAAATCAACTAACCAATAAAACATGTTGACCATTCGAGCACCCATTGGTGCCTCCATTTTCAGTGGATCCCATTTTTTGGAAACCAGTCGACGGATCTTTCTCTTTACTCTGACGATTGCCCTGGCTCGTTGTCGCCGCCGAGCAAGAGTGGGCGGAGCTTGAGCCGCGTGCTCTCAAAGAGGTGGGAAGTGTCTACAATTATAGGGGACCATTTTGTATAAGAAAATGCCACTTTTATTTTGAAATTTGAATACATTTGAATCAAGACTAAAGGTCCTTTTCGGTCAGAAGTCATTTTCTTTCTTTTCAATAACTGACCTCTTCTGTTTCAGATTCTGCAGATGTCGAAGGGGAAATGGAAGAAGTAGAAGCACGCGATAAGTGGGCGGAGCCTGATTCTATGCTTGTCCATGCACTTTGAGGACTTGTAGAAGGGATAGATGGTTTTATTGGTACAGTTCTAACCGGCTGAAAGCGAATTTTAAGAGAAATTTAAAACAAGGAAGATAATTTTATCATTGTATCACATAAACATACTGTATTTTCAAATGTTGATATTTTCCAGAAACTTTTTATCATACTTGCAAAATCAGAGCCCGGGTTTTCCAAATTTGAAAAAATTTTGAAATTTCAGACACTTTTTCAAATTTCTTCAGATGTTTTTGTTAAAAAAATATTTTTTAATGGCACTCTTTTTTTGGAAAATTACAGAAAAATCGTCCATTTTTTTTAGAAAAGACAGGAAAAACAGGAAAAGACAGGAAAAAATTTCAGAAAACTCCTTCAAAATTCTGAAAAGACCGGCCCGACCCGATGCAAGTAAGCTTTTAACGGAATTAGGAATAAAATAATTATCTAGAAATCCGGAATCCGGACAAAAATTTATTTAACTGAAGATCCGGACATCTTTATTAACAATAGCTTCTTGAATTTTCAGATTTAGTACTTTTTCAGATTTAATTTTTTTTTTAAACTAAATGTGTTGTTTTATCAGTTGTTTTGATGAAATTTCAACTGCTAGAGATAACCTAGACCTAAAAAGAATAATCTTCGCCAGAAACCCTATTTTTCTGTTTCTCAAGTTTATTCATGAAAACGGCCGGAAATTCGTGATATTTTTTGTTTGCGACCCAGTAGAACTTTTTTTCGAAAAATCTGACGTGGTTCAATAGAATTGAGTTACAACTTCAATAAATTTAGGAACACAACTTCTCATATAGTTTTCAGAATTCTCAGATTTCCCCTTTTTAGGTGAGAACTTCCAGATCTAAATCCCATGTTTTGAAAACTCACCCCTTTCAAAATGAAATTCTTGATTGCTCCACCGATTTCACTCATTTTTAGAAGGATTTTTAGTTCAAATAAATAGATGAAACTATAATGCGACCGAATATTAGAAATGAAAAGAATTCACGATAATTCGTGTCACCGTCTGCTGATATTTCCTTTTTATCAGCTTATCAGTTCTTTTTGGATACGCTAGCAACGATCACTATTTAGACTATGGTTGTCAGCAATCGAAAAGTACTAATATTAATAGTCATGGGAAACTGAATAAATACACTGTTGATGGCAGAAAGACGAGACAAAACCGCATGGTTTTGTTTTGTTTCACTGTCTGTTCTCTCTTTTTTTTTGTGATTATTATGGTGGTGATGAGTAATATTATTGTTCCTTTTTATTTCAATTTCAATAGATTCAGGGAATTATTTAATTTAACTTTTTGATAATAAAAAACGGCTGGGAAGCAGGTTCTCAAATATTTGAGCGCGAAAAATAGGTTTCGAGACCAAAAAAGACGGGGTGAATAACAATTGAAGCATACTTGAAAAACAGGGTCTGGAATAAAAATATTACGCCGGGCCAGGCCTTGAAAATTCTGAAAAAAAGGCCCGGCCCCATTTGTTTAATGCTTTTGAATAAAGGCTTGAATTCGATCAGAAGTTCACAACTTCCTTACAAAAAAACAACAAAACAATTCGGAACATTTTAAGACACATTCTCTGACATAATCAAAAATAGTGCTGTACAGAAAAATTCAAACTTGTTTTTTCTGGCCGATTTTTTATATATTGTTGTTTATAGACTTTTAAAGTATATGATATATAGTTTGTCCCGACTTGTCCCACACCTGCAAAAATATGGTCGTGGGGTGTCTAAAAAAATGTTTTTCAAAAGTGAAATAATGATTAGGTCTTATCGTAGAACGTTTTTAGGCACTATTTTGAACATTTTTTGTATTTGCACTATATTTATATTCTTCCATCTTCCCTGGAAAAATTCCAGTTTTTTGCAAAAAAGCGATTTTTTGGACCAAAAAATGGCCGTCCTGAAAAAAATTTCCATTATTTAGATTCTACACTAAAAAATACATTAAAAACTGTTTTGAGATAAAAGATAAACCTGAGCCCTCTATGAGTTTTAAGCCCAAATGTGCGAAAAAATGAGGTTTCACCATGTGGCAACAAAAATTCGACCAAAATCGACCCAATCCGATTTTGTTCAAATTTTCACCAGATGTAGTATTTTTGATGGGTAGTATTCTGGCAAAGTTTCAGAAACCGTGCTCACCGTCTTCGTGTATTTCTGGAGCTCGTATTTTTTCATTGAAAATGGACTTGGAAGCAATTTTTGTCGTTTGTTTGGTGCTTCTGAAAATGCACGAAGACGATGAGCACGGATTCTGAAACTTTGCCAGAATACTACCCATCAAAAATTTACTACCCAAAAAAAACACTATCAAAAAAAAACTACCCAAAAAAACTACCCAAAACTTTACTACCCAAAAAAACTACCCAAAACTTTACTACCCAAAAAAAACATTAATGTGTGGTGCAAATTTGAACAAAATCAGAGACGGTCGATTTTGGTCGAATTTTTGTTGCCATGTACTCCCCCACATGGTGAAACCTCATTTTTGGGCACATTTTGGCCTAAAACTCATAGGGGGCTCAGGTTTATCTTTTATTTCAAAACAGTTTCTAATGTATTTTTTAGTTTAGAATCTAAATTTTATGTTTAATTTTATAAAATAATGGAAATTTTTTCAGGACGGCCATTTTTTGGTCCAAAAAATCGCTTTTTTGCAAAAATCTGAAATTTTTCCAGAGAAGATGGAAGAATATAAATATAGTGCAAATTCAAAAAGTGCCAATAGACACCCCACGACCATATTTTTGCAGGTGGGGGACAAGTCGGGACAAACTATATATCATATACTTTAAAAGTCTATAAACAACAATATATGAAAAATCGGCCAGAAAAAACAAGTTTGAATTTTTTCTGTACAGTGGATAATAGGCCTGAAGTTGAGTTCTACAGAGAACGCGTCTTAACAAGAAGATTCTGGGATAAATTTACCTTCTTATTAGGTTCACCTTTTTCCAGATATTTTTTCTATTTACTTTCAATAAATAATTCATGTACACCGATTAATACCTGTTTTAATATTCCCACTACCGAAAAAAAAAATGTTCTCAAAAATTGTCAAAGCCTGTAATAGGACACAGCAGCTTTATCCGATTTTTCCTCGTTTCCTTTAAAAGTTAAGAAAAGTCAGAGATGTCCTGAATGAGTTTTTCGAGGAACGGAAATCGGAATTCTGACATTTCCACCGTGCAAAAACCTTCTAAAGAAACACATATCGCATTTTTGCATTGTTAACAGCGGAAGTTTAAAACGAATTCCTCGGGGCAAGGAACTAGAGAAGAGACATCTCTGTCAAACAGTTTTTATCTTACAAAATAGTCTCAATATTATTAAAATTGTTTTGTCAGTGCTCTGTTTTTGATATATTTCACAAAGAACGAAAAAGCTGTTTTCTGAAACCTTCTATCAAATGCTATTAATTGTACTTTCGGGAAAATCCAGGGTTTCGGTATATTTTTATTTGGAAAGGTTGGTTTAAAATATGTTTCTTCCCATTCTAAGAATCAGCCCAAAATTACCCAAAAAATACTTTTGATTTTGGGTTTAATTTGAGACATAATTTCCGTTGAATGTTACCGTCTAACAGACGGGCCCTCTAACTTTCAATTTCGAGCCCATGTATTTCAGTTCTAGTAAAAAATCTCCAATACTTGTCCACTCATAAAATGTTTTCCATAAAACCTTAAATATGTTTACAGTTGACTGCTTTTTGATATCTTTCACAGCAACCGAAATAAATTGGCTCAACGTCAAAAGTTAGGGGTTTCATTCTATTAGAGTGTGTTAGAGTGTTTCTATTAGAGTGTTATTTATATTTCCATTTTTGAAAATGAAAGAAATTTTAATATCTCATTTGCAATACAGTTTGCTTATGTGATACGGTATTTTCAAAACGGAAACGGAAACGAAAACAAACCAAAACCATGAAATAAATAACCTCAAAAACGATAAAAAATCATAAAGGTGGAAAGATGTTAAACGAAATATTACCAAAGTTGAAGAGACACAGAGAAAAAATTTGGGAGGATTGTATTTCAAAAGGAATTCCCAAAACTCATTGAACCGTATCCAATCTGCTTACTTTTTAACACTTCTTAACTTTCAAAATTTCAAGTTGACTTTTGATTTTTCAAAAACGAATTCCTAGAAAAAAACAAAAAACGACAAAATGTTGGTAGAAAAGTTGGCTAAAACAAAAAAAAACAGATATTTTCCAGAAAAATTCCTATTATAATTGACAATTGTACAGTAATCCGAAGTGACAGTTGTCTGGCAAAAATGAAAATGTGTGAAGGGTTTTTTTGAGTTGGGAAAAAAAAGAGAATGATTGAAAAACTGGATGAGAATGTAGAGAGAAAAAAGATATGAAATTGTTTATGTTTTTTTTTCAAAATGTGGTTATGAAATTCATATTACCATTCAGCTGATTCATTATTCAAATCTTTGTTGTGACGAACATTGAAACAGAACATTGGACCGTAAACACTCTAATGGAACGCCCCCAACCCGTCAGTTTCAAGTCTATATATCTCAGTTTCTGTGAAAGATATCAAAAAGTGGTCGACCGACAAAATGTTTATCGCAATATTATTTTGTTAGTTAAGCACTTTTGATATCTTTAATGAGAAATGAGATACATGAGCTCAAAGTTAGAAGTGGCGTTCTTTTAGAGTGTTAACGGTAAATCGTTGGAATCTTCTGAAGAAATTACCGTTATTCTCTGATTATCACATTCTGAATGATTTTCGTCAAGCTTTTGAGATGCCTCTTGGTTTCTTGAATTTCTATTTCTCCATGGTTATGACGTCTTCAGCGTGTGAAAAAAGACACGGAATTCGATTTAGCCAGAGAAATAAATACCTATTTCCTCTAATAGAGGCTCATTCAAACCGTCTACTTTGGGCCCAATTATCTCGATTCCTGTGAAAGATATAAACAATTTATCAACTGATGAAATATTGGTGATATTATGATAAACATTATGTCAGTTGATCACTTTTTGATATCTCTCACAGGAATCAAGATATTTAAGTTCCCAAGTGAAAACGGGGGGGGGGGGGCCAAATGGGAAAATTATGTCTAAGTTAAGATTTACCCATTTTTTCAAGTTTTGGGGTTGTTTTCACTAAAATTTCGTGCTTTGAAAATTTTTCATCATTTTTTGAAATTTTCAGTGTATGTCATTTTTTGTTGATTTTTGTTGAATTTTTTGTTTTCTAAGCCTAAATTAATCAACTATTAGCTTAATAAATTGAAATAACACAGTTACAACAGCAAAAACAATGTTGTTCATGAAAAAACGATCTAAACTGAACTTTTTTCGACGTTATGAATTTTTATGGAAACAAGCGCGAAGAACGAAATTTTCATAAAAACAGTGGCAAAACTTGAAAAAATCGAAAAATCTCAACTTACGCATAATTTTTACCCATGGGCCCCCCTTCTGTCTTGGGCCCCCCTATTCTCATGTCCCCCCCCCCCCTTGTCATAAAGAGCCGATTTTTTAATAGTTTGAAAACAGCGAATTTCATAGAAAACACCAAAACCATAAACTTATGTCTCATTGCTTTAAGAACCGGAAACTTGGTAAAAAAATCCAGAAATTTATAGAAAATGGCTACAAACGAGCCAAAATTTTTTGCAGATTTTGGTTTTTTTTCTGAATTGGAAACTTGAAAATTCAAAGATTTTCAGGTTTCAGAATTTCTCTTGAAGAAACGAAAAATTTAAAAAGTTCTGAATAAAAATCGGCTAAAAAATGAGCAATGTCAGAATGTTTCCGAAAATTTTAGGAAAAAAAAAGGAAATTGATGTAATCAGCGAAATTAACATTTGAATGAGTAACTTTCACGAAATTTTCGAAACTCAACGAATTTCTCAAAACATCGAAACCATGAACGTTTGCCTCATTACCCCAGGTGCGGAAAATTCAACAAAAATTCTTGAAATTTCCGAAAAGAAAAATGGCTAAAAAATCCGCTGAAAAATGAGCAATGTCATTTTTTGGACAAAAAAAGAATTTGGTATGGTCAGAGAAATAAATACTTGAAGGAGGAATTTTCAAAAATAGTTTCAGAACTCTGAAAATTTCCTAGAAAACAACCCATGTTCAAATCTAAACTGAAATAAAAATACGAAAAAAATCGTTCCGGAAGTGTGACATTTCTCAAATAATCCGTGCTGAAATTGAATTCCATACAAGACTCATAAAAATTAATGTGACACAAAAATTGGGTTTTTTCTCTATATTAATGCTTTTTTTTGAGAATTCTTGTTTAGTTGTGAATTTGTGAATTTGTTTTCGATCTTTTTTTTCTGGAACTACAGTAATATATGACCGGAAGGAGAAATTTAGGAGGAAAAGAAAAGTTTCGTGACATGAAATCCATGTTGAGGAATCATAAAATGACTCATAAAATATGAAACCAGAAAAAGGAAAAGAACACATTTTCAGAGTATGACATCTATGTCGTTTTTATTTGTCTGAAAGAAATATTCACAAAAAACGTTAATAGGTTGAAGAAATCTGTGAAAAGTTGGTTGAAAAAACAGCAGTATGAGACCACAAAAATAACAAAAAACAAAGAGAATTGGAAAAAAGATTTGATGGCAAAAAAGAGTGAGAAAAGACAAATTTTAATTGGCCTCTCTTCGAGGTGTGATATTGAAACAACATTTGGAAAGAAAAGAAGAAGACCTTCGAAATGAGAAGACAGCTGTTCTTTTTCTAGAATCGAATGCAAAAAAAGAAGAGAAAGAATAAGAAGAGGATCATCCAGGAAGAGAAATAAAGGATATCAAGGAATAAGATTGATTGCACAGAGAGCAAATCACAAGGTAGAAGAAAAGAACATTGGCATAGAACGCATCGGAGTTGGGTTTCAGATTGACGATGTCCTTGAAGTGAATCTGAAAGTAAATTTTAAAAAACTTCGGTGACATTTTCAGTAAACACAGTTGTTGATCAGATTCATAAAGTATAGAGGGTGTTCAATAAAACAGACAATTTTAAAAAGTAACATGAGATTTTTTGAAAGAAGATGTTGCGAGACTGAAGAAAAGAGATAGTTTTTGAAAAATGTGGAATAAATGAGAGGTATTTGGAGTGCTTGAAAAAGAAAATGGTAACAAAATGAGAATTGGCAGCAGAACAAGAAAAATATAAACTTTTGATCGGGGTATTAAGAACACAGCAAGAAAACACATGAGGAATGAAAAGAAGTGATATTAAAAAGTAACAATGAGCTTCTGTTTTTTTGTTTTCGGCTCGACTTTTGCGATTTGTTGAATGCGTTGGGCAGTTTCGGCCAGATGGTTTTTACGAATCTTTTTGTGTTCGGTGATCAGTGGACGAACCCAATCAGCATCAATTAAGGTGACTTGTCTGAAATTTTAAATAAATGCGAATTCGAAGAAAAGAAAAAACTGACAGTGCATAGAGATCATTGGTCTTCATGAGTTCCGAAAACACAATGTATGCTGGTTTCGATCTAGATAGAGCTGAGGATGGATGAATCTTCACAGTGATCGCTGGATTGATCATCAATCGATATCGATCTTCTTGACGATCATATTCGCAACTGTTGAGAAATAGTCCAACGGCAATCGCTTTCCTAAATTAGAAATAAAACAATTAAAAGTTTCAGTCATTCCAAGGTATACCTAATCTTTGATAAGTCCGCACCACAGGTAGAGAACTTGACGTTCTGCTCGATAGCGATTTGTTTCAACTGGTCTTCAATCATTGATCCTGTTTTCAGATGTTGCTCGTTGATCATGTTATCATTGCAGAATTTCTGTAAGACATGAAGTGATTAGATAAAATAAGCTAGTTGAATAGAGTTACCCGGATGGCTTCATTATATTCTCGTTCTAGGGATTTATTGGACTTATTGTATCTCGCATCAGCCTCTGTTTTCGCGTTCAGCTGTAAATTACAATATTAATAAATTTAGCTTTTTTCCCACTAGTTTTCTGAAAATCCAAATAAGTGCATACCTGATCGAAGAAATCATTAGTCGTTAGAACGATCTTGAGCAGTGTGATGTGATCACCTTCTCTAGTTTCAAATTTCCTTCTAACTCTTTCCACTTCCGCATCGCTTTTTGAATCACTTCCTCCAGAGAAGAGTGCATCTGTTTGCATGGCTGCAACGATCTTGATAGCCTCCATAATGCATCCTTCTTTTTGAGCTTGGAACAGAATTCTGAAAACTTTCAATTTTCTTTGCTTATTTTACAAACCAAAACCTGGCATGTTCTGGTGATAGTGGATACATGCAAAATACATCTCCCATCTCTGTGAGAACAAATTTACTTCTATCTGAATTGATCGGACGAATGGCTCCAAGAGACTGAAACAAAAAATAAATTCCAAATGTTGAGCTAGATAACTCACCGTGAGTTCCAACAGTGCTGCATCAATATTCTGTGATTCTGGTGGATCGATCCAGCCCAGACGATGTGGATTCTTCATTCCAAGTTTCATCAATTCAAGGAATGTTGCCGATAGATTACATCGTAGGATCTCAGGCATATTCTCTGCATCAAACTTTTGGAAGTCTTCACGAGTGTACAGTCTGAAACTATCTAAATTAGCTTAAGAATTTTCCATTTTTGTATTTCCGCAAACCTCCTCAACAGTTTTTTGAAGCTAACCATTCTCCCTATTACAAAAGATTTTTGGAACTGAATTGTTTCAGTACCAAAGAATGTTTCTTTACTGATAACAAACTACACTCCAGCTACACCGATTGCAATAAATCAATTGAATTCATACCTATAGCATTTTCCAGGCGCATCTCTTCCAGCTCGACCAGCACGTTGTTTAGCCTGAGCCTTGCTTACATTGTGCACTTTCAGGACATCAATTCGATTTGAGGCTTCGAATCTCCTATAAAAAACAGAAAAATAGTATCTATAATCGCTGATTGACTCACTTGGTTTTAACCTTTCCAGAATCGATTACAACTCGGATTCCAGGAATCGTAACAGATGTTTCAGCAATATTCGTTGAGATGATTACTTTTCTCGCTCCCTTAAATCATGGTGCATTAACAAAAACGATAAATTTTGATGAATTTTCTGACCTGTGGAGTTTTTTGAAAAGCTTCTCTCTGTTTTTCTGGTCGTAGTGCTGCATAAAGTGGAACTGGGAGGATGAAATCGGCCTCGCGCGGGAGTGATCCATTCAGTTCGGCAAGTTGGTGAGCAACGGCTTCAATTTCTTCGCTTCCAGTCAGAAAAACGAGGATATCGTGTCCTTTCGGTTCAGTCAAATGAACATGTTTCACACAAATAACCGTATTATATACGTAATCAGTCGCAGAAAACGACTTGTTGATCTTCGGATTGACATGATGAATCTCGATGGGAAACGTACGTCCAGAAACTAGAACCACTTTTGCGTTATCGAAATAAGCTTGGAATTTGTCTGCCTAAAATTAAAAGTAGATAGTCATCCTTATTAATTGATTACCTGTAAAGTCGCGGACATAATAATAAGTCTGAGTGGATTATCGGTACTTCTTCTCTGTGCCTGACACTTTCTCAAAATGCACATTAAAACATCTGAATGAAGACTCCTCTCGTGAGCTTCGTCGATAATTACTGTAGAATATTTGTCGAGCAAAGGAGAAACGAGGGCTTTCCTGTAATTCCGATTTTCCGAAATTCAATTCAGCGTAAAGATACTAACCTGAGAACGATACCGTCTGTCATATATTCAATTTTCGTTCTATGGGATGTGACATTTTCGAAACGAACGTGGTACCCAACAGTTCCACCTAGATCCGTTCCCATTTCGACCGCGACGCGAGATGCAAGAGATACTGCGGCTACCCTTCGAGGCTCTGTCACTGCGATTAAACCTTTTTCAGCAATTCCAGCTCGAACGCATAGCTGAAAAATAGGTTGGAACAGATTTACGAAAACTGACGAACCTGAGGAACTTGTGTTGACTTTCCGGATCCAGTCTCACCAATCACAATAAGTGTTTCTTGGGATGCCAGCTCGTGCATCAATTGTTGTTCTACGACATCAATAGGCAATTGAGGACGAATAAACTTTTCATAGGTTGCATCTTCCCGTGGTGAATTCTTTGCCTTGGGTTCAGCGTTCTTGGAGGGAATTGCTGCATTTGGTTTCTTTGAAATCGGGGTAGAGTTGTTGTTAACTGATTTCGGTGTCATTGATTGTATTTTTGTTTTTGGTGGACTTGATGCCGTAATAATCTGAAAATTAAGTTTTGATATTAGATTGATGTGGACTCATGTCACTAGCCTGCTTCATCTCCATGTTTGTCTTTTTCGTCAAAACGCCGTTAGTCATTTGTACTGTCGAATTCATTAACTCTTCTTTCATTTGGATTTTCGCTGTACCATTGATCTTCTTCTTTCGTAATCTTTTCTTCTTTTTTACTGACAACATCGCTAAATTCGGGTCCTGTCCTCCATTTTGTCGAGATATTCCGTTGATGGAAACTATGTTTGTACCATTTTTAACTAAATGTATTTACTATCACATAAAAACGAGCTCAAAAGAATCTTACCTCTTTTTTCATCATTGTTCTTTCGTTTCTTCTTTTTCCATGCCGGAAATTTCCCATTGATTTTCATCTGTATAAATTACTATAATTAGATACAATCATAAATACCCAAAATCTATATACAATCAATAGGTTTGAGACCTGACAAACATTCAAGAAGTAGAAGAATTGATTGAATTGTAATTATTTTCATTAATCATATTAAATAGATACTATAGATTTCAAAGAGAAATTCAAGATAATGAATACGATAAATTATAAGCCGAAAATAAATACCACTGGATTGAAATAAGGAATTTCTCAGGAATGATAAAACACTGGTGAAAACTGAAAGTGATGAAGTTAAAGTTGGAATGTTCAGATGCTGAGAACAGGCGGAAAAGTTAAGTAAAGAAAAGGCCGAAAAAGAAACAAAAATGGTTGAACCGATAAAAGAAAAAAGTGATTACAATGAGAAAATGCACATTTCTAGGAAGGAAAAGCTATTACAGAACTTATAAATTAAATTTTTACAATCTACAATAACCGCTAATGAAAAACGGATGTGTTATACAAAATACTTGACTGCAGAGATGTTGAAAAGTTTCTCGATGAAAACAGAATCTTCCAAGGCGATAACATGAGCTGAAATTTTTTTTAGGTCGGAGCTTCGTTTCAAATTAAGAGTATTTGGGAAGCTTCAACTAACCAGCTCTTCCAGTGAGTTTCTGTGTGTTGGTAGACCCCAGCTGATGAAATGTCGTGTACCGAACAAGATTTTCGCTTTTTTCACTGTCTCGGATCGAATTTAGGCATGCAGACATCATTTCTCTGAAATTAGAACAACATCTTTTGTAAGTGCATTCTAATAAATATAACCGATATGCTTCTCCGAATTGAGATTGATCTTCAGATGATGCTTTCGATGGAACTAGCAAAGAGGACATATATGGAACGAGTTGATCATCTAAAAAAATTAGGACGTTTTCACTACCGTAATCAAAAGGAATCATACGAGGAGTTCCAACTAGCAAAATGTTTTTGAATTTTCCACATGCACTGTTCAGGGAAGTTCTGTAGACGAATGAAGATGCGAAATCAACAGAGTCTCTGAACGACAATTGCTCCATTGATCGAGACTTTTTCCACCTGCAAGACAATCCTTTTCAAAGTTGCTCTAATGTATTTGAATTTTACCATTTGACAATTTGCACACCCCAATGAATATGTTTCGGAACATAAGCAAGTCCAAGGTGTGGTGAGTTGATTGTCATCAGAGTATAACATCTGTCGACCATCCATTGCATTTCTACTTCTGGTGCCAATCCAATCGCACTTCGAACGATCACACCACCCAGTGAATGCGCCATGAAGCTGATTCTTTGAATATCACAACGGGCTTCCTCGACATGCTCTCGGACTTCGGAGAGAAGATTATGAGCCATCGTAGTGATATCGGCCCACGTTTGACTTCTGTTTGCACTGCTCATAAGGTATTCAAATGACCACGGTTCTTCCTCAAAATCATCACCATCCGTTTGAATAGAGTGATAATATGCACTTATAGCTTGATCGAGACCACAACGGAATGGAACTAAATCTTCATGAGATCCTGAAAAATGTTTTGAAAAACGATTTGAGATTAGATGGAGTCTTGCAAACCTTCTAAGCCATGTACAAAAACTACTAGATGAGTTTTCGTAGCTGAACGAAGCACCGCATCTCCAATCACCAGAGACGATTTTATGGGGGTGAAAACTGGACCGAACACTGGCTTTGAAGTTTGTTCACTAAAAATTACAGACATGAAAAAGAACTGTATCTACTAAGAATATACAAACCTATAGAGATGTCCTTCGTAATGTGCCTGATCTCTCAACATCTTTTTCGCAGCTTCTCGCTCTCTCAGTAATTCGAATGCTGCCATGACGTCTTTCGGATGTTCTTCGGTTAGTTTATCGTCTGTTTGAGACAAAATCCCAGTTTGTGATGTCCCTGGAATAGCAGCGGAGTACGCAAGCACCTCATCTGCTGAAACGGATGTCCGCAAGGCGTTAGCAACCTTAAGACATGGCATTTATAAGATCACGAAAGGAAAAATAACCTCCTCTGAAGAGACGCTCTCTTTGGAAATCAATGGTACAGTATCCTTTGGAGATTCCAGTTCACCTGCCGCCGAACATCGTCCAAACTCGGAGGAAGATGATGGAGAAACTGAAAATCGAATGGAAACATACATAAACACTTGGAAAAGTACCAATAGGTTCGCTACGGCAACTTGCTGACTCTTCGGATGCTAATGGAACACGAGCGCTGCTCATGGGACTTTGATCAGTGGGTGTTTTAAGTAAAAGTCCCCCACCATCTGAAGCAATGGTCTCCGCCAATGTTTTCGTTCGACTTCGTGAAGAATCCTTAGACAACATAACATAAACATTGAATAGTATATGTATGATAACTTACCACTTTCCTGGATAATGACTGTGAGCAGTCAAGACTCTTTCGGCGAGGATGTATGAGTTTTCTCGTCTCGTTTCGAATCTTTTGACGGAACGACTTATGCTTATCTTGTGTTTTGACAGCTGGCAAAGAAGCACTATTCGGGATGCCCATCTGAAAATGTAAGTTTAAAAATCTTTTGTCAGTGCATTCTCGTTCACCTCTTGAACACCAGTGGTCATCAGTCGCGTAATATCTGGATTCCTGGAGAAAACATCTTCGAATATAATCGGACTGTAAAACAACATTTGATATTTATGTTTTTTCTCTACCTGACTCACCAATACTCTCCGGGACAATCGGTTTCTTCGCAGAAAATTGTGCATCGTGGCAACTTCTTCAGATAGTCTACCTTGATAATTGATTTATAGTGCTCCAAAACTGCTACTGGCGTTCTGATACAGCACTTATCAATGGGTCGTTCAGTTACCCAAAACGCTTCACGGAAAACCGCGCGGCGCTGTTTATCAAACACGAGAAGCAGTTGTTGATGAAGATCTGAGCATTAACAGTAACAGATTCCGAGAGTGTAGAAAATTTTTTTTCAAACCTGTTGATTTTCGGAAAAGATTGAGCATCTGCTGATAAATCAATGTGATTTTAGTGCTCCACTCAGAAATATCATTCTCCACACAGTTGGACGGATTTTCCGAATTGTCAAAACGCAAAAGAGCCGCCTTCATTTCGTTTTGGACATCGAGAATGACTGAAAGCTCTTTAAACTTGTTAGAATGCCTTCAAATTCTTTATTTTGTTTACCAACTGAAAGAGAAGCATTGATAAGTTCGGCATTTCGAACGATGAATTGCTGAATCGATCTAGTTGCGAATAGTAATGCGTGAGCAGATGAATTGTAGACTCTTCGCAATTTGGTACTTTTGATAGAAGGCGCCTGTAATAACTAACAGGAAAGTTTTCAGTGAAAGTAATTGATTTGTGTAATTGGTAAATCTTATATTTTCATTCAGGAAAGAATGTAACTATTCAGAGATTAGCAAACTCAGATGAATACCATTCAACACACCGATTCTGCAGCATTGGCTCTTCTCTGTCTGGTTGCAACCATGACAAGACTACTGTACACACACATAGTGATGGCCGAAAGGTAGCTACTGTCGAAATACAAGGATCGTGCAGCAGCAACCAAACGAGTTGGATCGAGAGGAATTTCAATTAACCGTTTTGTGATTTTCATGAATGATTCGTATTGAGGCGGGTGGTACCGATCCATGTATCTTAAATTTACTGTTTTAAATAAGAAAATGGCTGATTCTCTCACAATAATTCCACCTCGATCTCTAATTTTTGTGGCTCACATAAATTGAGAGTGGAGTTAAATTGAATCGAGATATGAAACCAATCATCTGAAGTGGTGTTTACTTATGATAAAATCGTCTGATTCAAACAATACCCAAATCGAACTTTTCATGCTGGTAAGTCACTTCGATCGTTTTACTAACTGCTGAACCTTGATAGACATGTGCTAGAAGAATATTGTTGGACGCTCGCGGGCTGAAGAAGAAAATCTATAAAACCCGCAATGATCGATTATGCATACCCGGATTCTCTATCTGCTTCAACGTCATGAGAAATATCTACAGATCCAATTTCCGCAGTTTTCTTAGGTTTTAAGCGTATCTGAAATTCGTGAATGAACGGTTTCTATTAGTTGCATAAAACCTGGTAATAACCCCTATCCGACAAGTCGACGTTGAAGAATTCGCATAATTGAATGCTCACATTAAAAACCTGATGAGCCTCTATTCGCATCTTCTCACGCCTAAAGCCTATAGTTTTGAAACTATTTCTCAAACTAAACCTCAGGTATCTTAAAAAACTGAAAGTTGTTACAGTGTTAGGTTATCGATAGAGATGTTCGAATCAACAGTTATAAAGTGTTCAACAAATAACTTTATTGACATTACAGAGGAAAAACAACAAAGTTTTACTTTCCGGCGATGATCTTCTCGCTCTGGGAAATCTTTCTGAGAAGCTCAGCACGCTTGACGACTTGTCTCTCCTCGCGGCGCTTGCGGCTCTCCTTGTTCTTGTCACGTCTGGCTTGAGCTTGGTCGCTGAAAAATTAAAGTTCGAGTTTCCGAAATGTTTTTGGGAACAGAGCACTCGGACACTTTCGGACAACGGGAAATGTCCGAAACTCGGACAAGTGTCCGAGTGGGCTGTACGTGCAACTCTGATTGGGAAACTTTTACAACCAAAAAAAAACTTACGCAAGTTGCTTAGCTCTCTTGTTCTCAGTCTTCTTCTTGAAGATGTACTCGATGAGGTTCTTCTTGTTCTTGAAGTTGTTTCCCTTGGCGCGGAGGTAAAGCTCGTGGTAAAGATGCTTGTCCAACTTCTTGGCATCTCTGTATCTTCTCAGAAGATTTCTGAGGACACGCATGCGTCGGATCCAGAGGGTCTTTTCTGGCATACGGGCGTTGGCAGTACCACGGCGCTTTCCGTAACCGGTGTGACGTCCCTATATTATTAATGATTAGGTTATTTATTTGAATATTTTAAATGATACCTTTCTGCGGGCCTCCTCGTACTCACGGGCACGGAAACGGGAGTGAACGGTGACTGGTTTGCGGATGATGAGTCCGTCATTGACGAGTCTGCGGATGCTTTGGCGGGAGTTGGCTCCGGAGATCTCGCTGACCTCGTTGGGGTCGAGCCAGACGCGGTGCTTTCCGCACTTCAAAACGGCCGAAGCCAAACGTTTTTGCAGACGGAGATTACTGAAAAAAAAGTTTTAGATGTGCTTAGAACGGACGCTCTCAACTACTGATAGTGATAAATTTGGACACAAATCAAGTAAAACAAAAAGTTACCTCATTTCGTCTTGCTACCCAGTATTTGGAGTTTCCTGTAAAAATAAGTTTGTGACGACTGAGAATGAAAAAATCGACGATTCGAACGAGTTTCGACAGTTAGATGCTTCAAAAATAGGTAATGTCTCAAAAATTCTACACAAAAAATGTTAAAATCGATTATTTCAATTCACTAAATCAAAGATTCGGCTTAAAAACGCATTTTTGGCTAGAAAAATCGAAAAGAAGTTTAGGAATTGCATAGAAAAATTGCGATTTTCGCCTTTCATTGCGAGACCCGGTGCGTTTAAAGGCGCATAGCTACGGTAACACTCGTTTCGGCTGTGTTTGAATAGTTGTGTCGCTCTTCTCTCGCGAGGGTGTTTGAGAACAAAAAAAAGCATTTTGTGAAAATTATGGCGAAATTTGTATACGAGAACGATCTGAAACAAAAGTTTGACATAGTTTTTAGCTGAACGCTCTCGTTTTAGTGTCAGAGGTGCTAACGTTTTGAGTTTGCTCTGTTTCTACACTTGAATCTGTTCAATTCAATAATAATTTTTCAAAAACAGAAAAACAAACTCACAGTATTGATATTAGACAATTTTAGAATGACAAGATGGGAGTGGAACACTGGAAAATAAATAATCGGTGTCAAAACATTGCGAAAAGTTGCGAAATTTGTTGCAAACTTGTGGACTATTTCCTGTTAACCCCGCAGTAGATGTGCAGAAACTTCGGGGATTCTAATGATAATTAAATTACTTACGAAACAGTAAGAAACAATAGCGAGTAACGCAGATTTTATGGCTCTATCGTAGGACGGAGATACCGTTCTATTTTGGTTCCAATAAAATGGGTCAGCGACCGAGAATGTTGGAAACGTTCCTGATCCGATGTTCAGAAGATATCCAAACAACACGTACATCAATAACGCTACACATTTAGTCCCCTGGAATAGCCGATTAAAACTCTCCCAGGAAGCTCTATTTTCGATACCACAGTTGGAGGGATCCATGTGAAAACCATTATCGCAGCGATCACAACAATCATAGAGAAATGAGTGAGTAGCATCTGAAGTGCAAATGTTCGAGGACAAACCAGGTTTCCCGATGTAGCTTTTGCAATTCTGTAGAGGTGCCAACCAAAAACAGTGAAAAGAATCAATGCCAGAAGACAAGAAAGAACGAATCCCAACTCGATGCATCGGAAAGTTTTATACGATCCAAAGACTAGATAGATAAAACCAGTGACAAGTGTGATTATAGGCATAGTGCTAAGAGAGAATAAGGAAGCTGAGTAGTGGTGTATTTCTCGAAAAATACTAATCAACTTCGCAGCTCTTTTGGAAACCTATAATTCAAGATTAACGGCTTGCTGGCATCCGTAAAAAACGGAAAGGGGAAATGGAGGCTGGCGAAGGAGGCACTCTCAGTTTGACGTTTTTTGAAGAGCCATTCGCGTTGTCGTGGAGTTTTCAAAAGTATACATCCTCGGGGATGTTACAAAATGTCACTAATCATAATTCTTCGTCAAAAAAATTTCGGAAGATCTAGAGAAGGTTGAAAATCTGAAATCCTTTTCTTCATGGACAAACTCTTCATATACACAAGAAATCATAAACTATTGTTCTGGTATAGAAACAAAAGGGGAACTGGGGAAGAGAAACACCAGTGGCCGTGGCCGACGGTCCCACAGCGACAACTACTGTAACCTAAAAATATATTATTTTCCGTTTTTTGTGGTCTCGCTTTTTCACTGCTCTTCGTCGACCTTTTTCTTATTTTTCCCCAAAAAAGAAAATCTTTGGACGTTGAAAAAATTGACTGGAAACGCACAAAAATCAGAAAAATTAATACGGAAAACAAAAACATTTGGGTTACGGTAGTTGCCGTTGTAGGATCTTCGGCTAGGGCCACCGACATGTCTCTTCCACATCTCTGACTTCTAAAGAAAAGTCCGAATAAAAAAAGAAAGGAAAATTCTCAAATCTTTATTGAGTTTCCAAAAAATAAGACGAAATAGTTATATGTTCAGTCTTTGTAGCTGAGATTCTCGTAGAGTGGTTCATACTGGAAATCAGATCACTTTTAAACCTCAATAATCCACACTTACTTTCGCCTTCTGCTTTGATGGATCATCTGCTCGAAGACTTTGACTTTGAGATGCAGACGAAGAAGATTTGGTATCCTGAAATCATAAAAATTAAAAAAAAAACAGAAAAATCAAAATAAGGTAATTATATACCTTCGGTTTCTCCTCTCTGTCAGATTTCGGCTTTGCTACCATCGATGGTCCCGATGACGACTTCTGGAAAAACAATTTTTCATAGCCAGTTTTTCTAGGAGAAACTTACCGAGACACTTGGAATTGTAGACTGAGATTTCTGAAAAGATTTTCTTTAACTTGAAGAATTATTGAACCAGAAATTCTGGTCCAGAACCACGCCTACAGTATTCGTTCCACTCCACTTCTGACCCATTATTTCTAGATGACAACACGCAAACAATCACGTCGAATATTGGTCTTATCCCAAATTGGCAATGGGCGGTTTTTTTCGGTTTACACATGGAAAAGTGCAAAAATTACCTCACGTTTTGACGACTGACGTGGATAGATATACTGGTTGGATTCTCGATTGAGCAGAAGACTGCAAAAACAACAGTCAATCCAGAATTTTGCAACCTTCTTTAGCAATAGAAGTCTCAAAGTTCGTCAGCAATCATGGCTACTGGTTTGTTTGGATAGATTCGGGAGACAACCCTTTTTGTAACTTACAGCGTTGGATCAAACCGATATGGTTCAAATCCCAAATACGCCAACGTTGGTCGCCGAAGAGAATGTATTTTATGAACAGTTGAATATACTCAATAACTTTCTACTTTTTAGGTCAATCATAAGCAACGCATCAAGATGCAACCGGTTGCTCACGAAGCGTTTGCAATGGAACAATTGGCTCAACAAGTGTCAGCTCCAGAGCCACGTCATCGTGGACCAGCCATCAAGGATAAGTCGGAAGGAAGAAAAGATAGACTTCCAGTGACTGGAGAATACTTTGAAAACGACAAGGGCGATCGTTTCATTCTTCGTCAAAAACTAGGAGATGGGGCAATGGGACACGTCTTCTTGAGCGTCTTTGGTTCAAGGTAATACTCAGTTGCATGACCTCAATAACACTACTTTTTTCAGAACTGTTGCTATTAAAACTGAAAAGTATTCGACTGGAATGCTTCCGATGGAGATAAAAGTGCTTTTGAGCATCAAAAAGTACAAGGGGTCTCATTTCTGTGAAATCATTGACTATGTGAGATATATTGAAATTTCTGAATATACCTTTTGGTATCTGAATTACAGGGTACTATTCGTCGTGAATACAACTACATGGTTATCAGTCTCCTCGGAAAAGATCTCTACCGTCTTCGTGCTGAGCAACCGAATCGTTCGTTCTCTCTCAACACCACTACCAAAATTGGATTGGAGACTCTCGAGGCAATCGAAGAACTTCATGCCATTGGATACTTGAGTCGTGATGTCAAACCGAGTAATTTTGCTCCTGGAATGCGCGAATGTGGAGAACACAAAACGATTTACATGTTCGATTTCGGGCTCGCCAAGAAGTATCTCGACCGTGAAGGGAAGAAAATGAAGAGTCGCGGAGAGGTTGGATGGAGAGGAACCGTTCGTTACGGTAGTCTTCAAGCCCATAAACGATTGGATCTTGGAAGACGTGATGATGTGGAATGCTGGTTCTACATGCTCATTGAGATGTATGCTGGGGAGTTGCCATGGCGTCATATGACTGATCGCGCTCTTGTGGGACAGGCCAAACTTGCGATTCGAAATGAGCAACGTCAAATCTTCTTCAATCGCATTCCAAGACAATTTGAAAAGATTATTGATTTGATTGATGGATACAGCTTTGAGATTAGACCGGATTATAGACAACTCAAGGGTTTGATCAATGAGATCCGCTTTGAAAACAACATTCCGGATCGATGCAAATGGGATTGGCAAATCGAGGAATCTCAACATTCCGAGCTTACTGAAACCACTTCTGTCATGTCTGATGTTGCCATTCTGGCTGAACAAGGTGTCACCAACTACACTGATCGCGCTTGTGAGAGTGAGTTATATTCCTTTTTGAACTTTCAAAATTCATATTTCTTTTCAGATCAATAGAGGATTCTCCCATCTCGTCATCTTCCCTTCTTTTTCTTTCACTCTCTGCTCATCAATCTCGAATCGAATCGAACACTTTCCAGTACAATTTCCTCTTTCTTTTTCCGCACTAAAGTAAAATACCAACCCTTCCAAATCCCTTCTTTCTCTATTCACTATCATCATCGTCGTCGTTCCATATCTACTATGCTACTAGACCTTTGTATATAATAAATGTATTACTCCCACAATCACAATATCACTTTTTTTTATCTATAAAAACAGACAAGACTTTTATAATCCGTGTGTGATTTTCGTTATGTTCTAACAACTTTTCGAAATTGGTCTAACACGATGTGTTGCCTAGGTCATTTTAACATGGTGGCCTAACTTTTTCAAGTTGAGTTTTCTAGGCCACCAACTTCTATGACCTAAAAATGACATGATGTTGTACTGGTTTGTTTAATAGGCCATTTCGACATGGTGGTCTAACTTTTGCAAGTTGAGTTTTCTAGGCCAGCATGGTCAATGACCTAGAAAACGCATCAGGTGCATGTTAGGCGGTTTCTGGACCATCAACTACGGTGGCCTAGAAAAATAATTTCGAGAAAGTTAGGCCACACTATCCTCGCATGAAAACGGAGCGTCTGATTTTCGACAGCATCGAGAAAAATTTCGAAATCTCGTTCGAAAAGTCGTTCGAACGTAACGAAAAGCACACATTGATCACAGGACTCAAAAAATGAAAACGCTGATCCATAATGTTTCTTCTTCTAGAAGACATATTTTTCCGGCAAGTGTTCTTCAATCTCTATCACATCAAGATCAGTGTAATACTCCGAAGAGTCAAATGACCTCCAACTCCCCATCTTCTTCTTCTCTACCTTCTTTTTCTTCTTCCAACAACAAAATGCGTCTACTTCTGTTTTCTTTTGTTCTATTGCTTTCATCTACGTCTTCTTTTGAGCATCAGAAGAAGCAACACATCGTCAACTTTTCTGTAAAATACTTTAACAAATCCCAAAGCGTACGTTCGATTGATATTTTGAACAAAAACTGGGATTCTATTACGAAAGTTGTGAATTTCAATAAAAATGGATCAAAGATAACGGGAAGAATTGGTTTCGACGAATCAATAGACAGAGTTATCCTGAAATTGGGTAACAGAAACATCGATCAAAGTAAGTGATTTGACATTTTCCAGAAGATTCTATAATTTTTATTTATTCTACAGATGAAGTTCTCTTCTCATTGGGCAACAGTGATAGAAACCAATTAACAATTCACACAGATTCGTACAGAATGAGAATGTTCTCTACAAAACAGACAGTGAAAAGAGGTATGAAATATGATTGAAAGTATTTTCAAAGATTCGAATATTGAAGAAATGATTCATATTCAATCCGAAGATTCAAATGGATGTCAATGTTCTCATGGAAACTGTGCTTGTTGTCTTGGAATCTCTGTTCCAGAATTTAGACATTCAGGTTTTTGAAAAATTGTTTTGTAGAGTCATAAAAAACGTATTTCAGTTTGTGTCAATGCAACTTACAATCCAGTTTCCATTGGATTGGATTTATCAGTCGGAGTGGATGGACACTACTTTACGGAAGAAGTTTCTCGTAAGGTTTCTTTTTTTTGCCGAAACGTAGTGTGCTTTATTTGCAGTCCGTAATCCACCTCCAATCTGTTTCTCTCTTCCAATTCCTGGCGCTGAACATATTGCAGGTGTTTGTGTTGCTTTCACGAAAGTGAGTGACTAGTTCCATGAATTAAATCTTATTCCGATTTAAATGTTTTCAGTTAGATTTGGACAAGAAAGCCAAGATTCTATCAGGATGCATGGATTTCGAAGTTGAATTGATTCATTTGAGAGCTCTCAGTTTCCACTTGGGATGCTTCAGAATGCCAATTTGAGTGTTTGAATAGCTGTTTTGCAAAAAATATTTTGATAAAGTTTTAATCTTTTGACTTCATTGTTTACACTTCAATGCATCCATGTGCATCCATGAGTGTACATGGAAACCAATACAGCGTTTAACCGCAACTATTATGCTGGAATACAAAACGTGATGTGGAGGAGAAAATCCGGTGGCCGTGGAGGAAGGTACGACAACTACAGTAACCCCCCTACGACAACTACAGTAACCTAAATGTTTTTATTTTCTGAGTTTTTTCTCGTCAATTTTTTGTTAGAAAAACTTCAATTGCCTGACTTTTTTTTGCAAAAAACAAAAGAAAAATCAGCAAAAAATTCGGGGGTACAATGATTCGGGGGTACAAGGGGGTACAACTGATTTAGGGGTACAAAGTTGGTGATTCGGGGGTACAAAATTCGTGGGTACAAAAATTCGGGGGTACAACGATTCAGGGGTACAACCTACCAATGATTCTGGGGTACAACTTATTTCATGTAGGGGTACAACGTTTGTGATTCGGGGGTACAATTTTTTTTGACGAAGTTTCTGAATTCCTGAATTTCAGAACTTGAAAATCTCAGAATTCGGAATCTGAGAATTTCGGAACTTCAGAGTCTGAGAATCTGAAAATTTCGGAACTTCAGAATCTGAGAATCTGAGGATTTCCGAATTTCAGAACTTCAAAATCTCAGAATTTCAGAACTTCAAAATCTCAGAATTTCAGAACTTCAGAATCCTTAGAATTTCAGAATTTTGGAATTCCAGAATTCGCAATCTGAGAATTCCGCAACTTCAGAATCTGAGAATCTGAGAATTTCCGAATTTCAGAACTTCGAAATCTCAGAATTTCAGAACTTCAAAATCTCAGAATTTCAGAACTTCAGAATCCTTAGAATTTCAGAATTTTGGAATTCCAGAATTCGCAATCTGAGAATTCCGCAACTTCAGAATCTGAGAATCTGAGAATTTCGGACCTTCAGAATCTGAGAATGCTAAAACTTCAAAATCTCAGAACTTCGGAACTTCAAAACTTCAGGACTTCAGAATCACAATATTTCAAGAAAGACAATGGAGAACTGTGAAATGATTTTAACAAATTTTACAAACGGATTTTAATGCCAGTCGATACTTTCCTCACTTCCAATTTTTCTCAATTTTATTTCTTAATTCTTTTTCATTTCCTTTTGTTTCTCAATATTCCTTCGTTTTTTCCCAATTTTCCGTTTTTCCCAATTTTTCTTAATTTTCCTCAATTTTCGCGGTAATTTAAATTTTTCTCCTTTTTAAAGAATTTTCTATATCATTGATTGAAGGAAACAATCACAATTTAGCTATTTCCCACAAAATTCGAAAATCCCAAAAATTCGCCCAAAGTGAGCTATTTTCTATCGAAAATTGTTCGAACAGGTAATGAAACATTACAAAAATTATAAAATTAATTTTTTTCGACCAATTACCACGAAAATTTGAGCATATATGATG